GAACCGGTTTTGTCACAGCAAAAAATACTTGTGCGGAGAGTAGCTATTGGTCAGCTATTGCCTTGCACGGTTTTCTTTTGACCGGACACATTCCTTTTATGAAATCTGAACATTTTCATTGCATTAAAATTTTAGTGTGCATGTTTTAATTAAATGGCTGTGTTAACGTACATTGTTGGTGCGGAGAGTATTACACTGATGTCCGACGAGAGTATTACACTGATGTTACTAGGCTATGTGGTTTTATTGTAGCTGCCGGCGTTTCCTTCGGTTGCAAGAGCTTGTGCCATTACTCTATTGGGTGAAACAGTAAGCGTGTACTATTAAATCCTCTCGGGTGGCGAGCACAAGCACGCGCGATTGCTTTATTGCCGTGCTTGAGATTTTGCAACAAGTGCTTCCTTTCTGTCCGTCTCCAACCGACCGGCAGGCAGGACGGACTGCTCGGCCAGCGGCGCAGGATGCAGGCGGGACTTTCTCCTGCTCGCGGCGCACGCAAGCCGTCCGCCGCAGTCAGCGTTTAAAAGGACCTCCTTTTGCGTTTTCTTCTCTCATAACGAGTTGACCGGTGTAACTTCACGATCCATCCACTAATAGGCTTTACCCTCTTTTCTCCAGATAATAGAAATAGGGTTGTTTTTTTTAAATGCGTGTTAATCTCTCTCCCCCATTCAGTCGTCAGAATGCGCTTAGAAGGAAGAAATTTAAGAAATGCTCCAGCGAAATATTTTCTTGAGGTGAAAATGAAGTGGAAATTGACTACTGGGATTTCCTGTAAATATATTGTTAAAATATTGTTTCCGCGATTTTTTTCTCCAGAATTTAATGGCAGAAAGTTGTTAGCGAATTTATGAAAACAATGGATTAATGAAACATCTTATTGTATGAATGATCTGTTATTCTGAGAGCGCTAAAAGCATTATCCAACTAGTAACTGTTTCGAGTCAAAATGGTATGCAAAAATACGTGGTGGCTGGTGTGTAGCGCTCTGCTAACCACCGCCCTGGCGCCTGCTGCAGCAGCATCGCCAGCCCCTCCGCCACCGCCTGCCTGCTTTTCACAGCGCAGCGCGCTTGCGGGACAGGCCGGAAGAGCGGGCGCTGACCTCCCGCGCCGCCGCCCACGCCGCCTCCCGCTGCAGCCACCGCAGCGCACCGTGCCGCCCGCCCTGCGCGTCAGAATCGCTCTCGCCTCTGACTTTCAATCCCAAGATCGAGTAACTGGGTTCGGAAGTGTCCTTGCTGTCCCAAAACTCGTACATTCGATGGGTAGTATTGGCAAGTTCTCTAAAAAACTGGGGCTTTCTTTCTTAGATTCTTCCTGTTGTGGATGAGGAAAAATGCTAAGAGCCAGGTTCGAGGGTATACTTGATGGTATACTTTCAAAGAGTAAAATTTTATGTTGTATGAAGAAACCACAACATTTCATATCTGATGCTTTGTGTTAAGGAGTGCGAAATAGTTTGTGAAAGACATGATTCTACTATTCGTAAGCACGTTATTTTGGATATATGCTTGGCACTACAAAGAAGCAATATGTTCTAGGAAATATCTGTATTTTGGCGTTATTTTTATCTTTAAAGTTGACATTTTACATTCTCTGTATGTACATGTATGGAGGGGCCCCCTGAAAATATTTTGAAAGGGGCTCTGTAGCCTCTCGAAATTACATTTTATTACCGTAAATATGTTACATCCTTAACAAAAATAACGTATATACATATTTTAAAATTTACAATGACAAACAAATGGACACATTCCTGTATTAATACCTACGTTGAAGTATTATTGCCTTAATGACTGGAGGGGGGAAAACCTTGAAAAAAAAACGTTTTATTTAGTTGCTAAAGTCAACACTTCATGTGCTACAGTCATTTACTTGGTTTAGTTACTGTCTAGCTATTTTTCGATAATTGAAATTAATTTTTGACCATTCGTGCAAGCCAACTAGTACTTACCATCTGTTTGTTTGGAAAGTGTTGCTTTGCGGTACCTAGACGACAGTCAATTTTGCCACACACATCGCGATGTGTCACAGTAAGTAAAATTGACATAATGGTACCGTTGTCTTCCGCAGCCGTTTTATTGGATTTTGGCTGTCCAGGTCGAGCGGCGTCTGTGTCTAAGCTCGCGTTTAGGCTATCACGCCAACTTGTCGCTTTAAATAGAAATATTCCACGCGTGATTGATCAAGGCTGTGACCTATGGGAGACGGGCAGGTGTCAGGATTGGCGGAGAAAGAACTGCGATAGCAGGCAGTTGTAAGTTGAACAGATGCGGCGTTGCCGTATTTCTTTATCCTGGAGGTTCTTTCACCACGAATTTTGAATTAAGATGCTACTTTGTGTGCAGTGGTTAAGCGGTGCTGGTGTCTACCTTAAGTTTCTGAAAACCCGGACCTCAGATGTGTGAAACGCAATATTGACCCAACAGCACTTAACAACCCGATATTTACAGCTGTAATATAAAGCCTAATGAAGTCAAGGTGTTCTCAAAACTAATTTACATGAATACTATTAAATTAAAGCTTGGTAAAATGTGAAGGTTACTTTTTGTATATAGCAATTCGCTATGTCCAGTGATAATTGTGAGATTCATTACGTTTTGAGTTAAGCGGATATAGGATTTTGTCATGATTCACTATAAACGTGTACGGATCTTGGTAAATGTAAAATATTTCAGTTACATTTTCAGAAACTTGTTTAAATCAATGAATTGTGATTGTATCGTTTCAGAACTTTGTAAATCTCCCTTGTTTTATTAGAATTGGGGAATAAGCACTGAACAAGAATATCTTCGAAACTTTGTGACAACTTCTCAAGCAATACTGATTTTTCCGCGTGGTGCGTATGTAGTACTTTCCTGTTGTAACAACTGTACTCGTCCTTTTGTGCGATGGAATCGCTCTGGATAAGCTAGTTTAAGCTAATTTAATTTAATAACAATGGAACAATTTTTTATTCAATTTATGATTATGCTTATAAACAGGGATGAACAAAGTTCAAACCAAGAACTAAATGCGTGATTAAAAATAACTGTACAAGCAAATCATTCTTAAAACAAGCAATGTAATAATAGTCCATTTATGTAGAGTAATACACTGTAACGGTTAAATAAGTCATGATTTGAAAAACATGAAGTTACCGATAGTATTTTAGTTTTTAATTATCAATATTAGAAACCCTAGCATCAACTGATTATGGGCGATGGCGTTGGCTAAAGGTGGATAAGCAATCTCAATAGCGACAAGATGGGGGGGGGGAGGGGGCGCTTGTCCCATGTCCCGACTTCATTGAGGCTGCAAATTTCTCTTCTTTCAAAAGAAATAAAAAATGCTTTCATCTCTAATCCAAATTTAATGCCATAAGTTATTTCTGATGCATGCAGAAATGGATTCTGATAATGAATTGGGAGATGAGGTAAATTTTGGTTGGAATGAACCGCCCCCGGCTCAACTGTTTTTGTCTGGGCGCCCCTGAATCTCTCATAAGCAAATTTCTAGGGCTATAGTGCCTTTCCATTGTCCAAGCGCAATATATTCCTGCTAACGCATTAGAGAATGGGCACCGTGGCGTATGCGACAATGGTTGGACACGAGCTGGAGCCGAACCGCCAACTCTCTGCATCCGGTGTGTCGCGGAGAAAGCCTTTGCCGAGTGGAGCCGGGGCAGGCGGCGTGTCGGGGCCCATCTTGTGCAGTAATTGATGCTAACGAAGCCGACGCTACAGCCCGACCGTTGCACCCGTGCGTCGCCGACGTGTGAATACGCCGACTGTGGCCACGGCGCCTGGAAACGGAACAGGGCATCTCGAACTGACTTCGGAAACTACTTCGCTGGGCTATGACTCACAATGGCTAAAACAGAACAACAATTTTTTACTCCTAAATTAAAAGTTAAATATTTAATGAAATAAAACATTGTAATGTATATTTTTGTTAAATTTTAATAGTTTAACAATTTTTTTCAGCAATGAAATTGTTTTATTCCTTTTAAGAAAAAATAGTCAATCCCCACTGTGTCTAATATTAGCAATTACAAAATCAGACATTATTTGAAACTCCCATTCCTATTTGAAGCACATGAATGTTGAACATTTATAAAGTAGAAATTTAAATGAAATACTGTGATTTGAATGTAAATAAAAAAGAAATAAAATATAAATCGTGGTTTATCAAAATTGAACCGGCCACTGAGTAACAAGATCATTAAAACTATCATGAAAAACAGCAATGTGTTCGAAATACCGCATGCCATTGCACTGGCCTGATTTTCTCAGAAGCTATTACTGTAACAGATCTTTAATAGTAACCACCCAGCTAATAAATTTTCTTATTGGAATTTTCATGACATTGCAGAGCTGAGAGATAGCCATGTATATTTTATACCATATTTACTGTTGTGAATTTTGGTCTAAAGTTTGCCTTATATTTTCTGAAAAATGCAAATTCAATAGGTAGCAAACTGTTGTCTGGATATGAAAGAAATAAAACCTAATTTGCATGTGTATTTTTCAAGTCAAAATTGAACTTCCCAGAGAATAATATCATAAAAACGATCAAGAAAAAAATCAATTTTTTGCTTTTTATATGATGTGTTCAAGAGGAATGGGGGGGGGGGATATTCAAATAATCAATTCCATTCTCATTCATTGCCTTTAAAAATAATGAAAATGTGCCTAACATGATTATTTCATTAAATCTACATGGGGAGTCTTCAGCTTGAATTGGTTTTCTTTCCATTTATATAAAATAATTTAGTTAATAAGCATTGGTATGTTTTGTCCAAATTTAATTGTGAGAACACATACACTTATGTTTTGTATTATTCAAAATAGAAACAAGAAGAAATATTAAAGTATATTTTGACAGAATAATGACCATTCTATTTCAAGCTTCTAAAAGATAGAGAAGTTCTTGAAAAAGAACTTTTAATACAGATCTTTATAAGTATATTTTGGGCATACACATTTTAAATATGAATATTTTTCTTATTTTTGCAGGGTGGTGAGAGTGCATCATCAGCAGGGCGGGTCTCATCCCGAAGTCGCACTTCTGATGAGCCACATATTGGCAAGTACAAGTTGCTCAAGACCATTGGGAAAGGCAACTTCGCCAAGGTGAAATTGGCGAAGCATGTGCCTACAGGAAAAGAGGTATGTTTTATTCTGCTATCTTTCTTTCTGTCTGTCTGTCTTTCTTTCTTTCTTTTTTTCTCTCTCTCTCCTTTTTCTTCTTCTGCTTCTTCTACTCCCAGTAAATGATTGTGTGTTAGCCCTCCTATATTCATTCCTACAAAATATTAATTTTTTGTGGTTTAATGTCTTCAAACTATGGAGAGATCTGTCAATATTTAAAAGACTTTTGCAGCTTTATGAAACATTTAGAGATGTTTAGGTTAATAAAGTTCATGGCAAAAATTCAGGAATGAATTCTTTATACACAGAGAAGATAAAATGTTTATTACAATATGGGTCAGGAAGTGCTTAATTATAGAGTTATCGGAGACTCTGTATTGTTACATGAGTAATAATATTGCAAATACCATAATGTTCACCTAAGTACACTGCAAATGATTTGGTGTAGCATTATCTAATTGGTTTCTTGATCTGCTTTCTATGGTTTTCGGTGTTCAGTAATGTAAATTAATGAAGGACATTGGTGCAAGCATTTATCTATGATTTTTGCTGATGTAATCATTTAAGAGCACATCACCTGTGTAAGGATCCTTATCCAATCCTCTGATTGCTAGACTAAAGTCCCTTCCAAGGGACCCATTGCCACCTGTGCAAATACAGGAATTTTCATGCGTGGCAAGAAACTGGAGACATTTCAGGTCTGCTGTGCTCATTGAAGAATTTCTCTATGCATTCATTGTAGTAGTCTGTTAGACAGTTCATGCTACACCAAATATGTTTGACACTGTTCAGCATGCTTAGACAAGCAGAATCCTTCCCCCCACCCCACCCTCGGTCCCAGCAAATGGTGGATCCTTGAAACATTCCTTGGAGGTTCATAACACATTGCTCAAACTAGTAAGTCTGATAACTCTGAATTAAAGCTTTTCTATGACCATAATTTAATGAACTTTGTATGTCACTCTTTGTATGTGAAGAATCCATTCTTGTAGTTTTGTTACATCTTTATAAGTAAATGCTTTCTTTGTAGGCATGCATGTTTGTTCTAGAAAACTAGTTACTTTAGAAATGGAAGATCTGGTGCATAATGTATTACATTTAAAAGAATTAAAGTTACTATTTTGTAATAATTATTCATTACCTTATTAATATTATATTTGTTATACTGACAGCATAAGAGTGAATAAAAGCTAACCAAAAGACATTTTGTATTACACTTTTCTATGTAATATCACAAGTTCAGACAAGAATCCAAATGAAATATGTTTTGCCAAGGTAATTAGTCTGGGACAAAAATACACAAAGAAAAGAAACTTTACAAGTGTAATTAAATGGGTATTATAATTAAAATATATTTTGACACATCAATGAACATGGAAACAAGTTACTTTTATAATATTATTGAAGATAATCCTATCAGATAGCTTGAAGAAATGAAGGTTAAACTTAAAGTTGGAACTCTGGGGTGGTATTTCCTTGGAGGTTGCTAGGAATAAATGAAATCTTAATTGTACAATTAGAAGAAAGCCATGAACCGACATCAGAATAAGAGAACAGAAATAAATTAATAAAACAATTACAGGGCATAACTTCCTCCAGCCGTTTGCAAAAATAGCAGAAAATAAAAATGAAATATTTGTGTAGGGCCAGGAAGACTATTATTGTGTTAAAAATAGTAATATTGAAAAATTGTTGGTTTAAATAACCTGTTTAAAATAAGTTTTCTGTAATGACAGGATTGGCAATCCCAGTTGAGAAGAGTCGCAATTGATATCTCCATTTGGTTTTTATTTCTTTCCCTAATTATCCTTATCCTTCTAATCCAATGCTTTTTCTGATCCTTCCCCTCCACCTCCCACTGCTTGTGCTCTTCCTTCCCATCTATCTACTAACATCAGCTTTTCTTTGTCTTCCCCTCATTCGCCTTCCCCCTGCTTTTCCGCTCTTTGTCCTCCTTTTCATACCTCACCTTTTCGTTGTCCTTTTCGTACCTCAGCTTTTCGTCCTCCTTTTCGTACCTCAGCTTTTCGTCCTCCTTTTCGTACCTCAGCTTCTCGGCCTCCTTTTCGTACCTCAGCTTCTCGGCCTCCTCTTCGTACCTCAGCTTTTCGTACCTCAGCTTTACGTTCTCCCCTCCATTGGCGTTTCCTCCTCCCTCCCGTCCTCCATCGGAGTTTGCTACGCCCTCCTGCCTTCAATCGGCGTCCCACTCCCCCTCCCCTCCCTGAAATCCCTTCGACTCTTCTGCTTTTTCTGCTCCTCTGCTTTAAGTAATTTTGATGTTAAGTGACGGCTTTTAAATATATTCCATCTACTTTCTTGTAGGCTTATGGGCAGTATTCATCTTGAGAATGTTTAGTAATTATTGCAATATCCGAAATAGTCTTTTGAAACCCTGAGAGGAGGAAAACTTTCCTGCCTGTTAACCTTAATTTACAAGTCATAATTCAATATTTGGACAATGAAGGTTTTTTGTTTTAATAAATTGTGTTTACAAATTTAGAATATTGTTTAGTGAAAATCAAAATGAAATTGTAGAACTCGTATCTTACTGTTTTTACTCTTTTTCTAGGTGGCTATCAAAATAATTGACAAGACACAACTTAATCCTGGCAGTTTACAGAAGGTAAGATTGCATTTCTACATAAACGTGTTGATTTTGTGTATTTTCCTTGCAATAACTTAATTTCCTCTAGTATCTAGTAATTGCAACTCTTGAATAATGTCCCTTTTCCAGAATAAACAACTGGCATTTCAGATCAATTATCTCCTAAGGAATTATTCATTAGAACATAAGTTGATTTGGTGTAATATAAATGTTAGCATCATCTCTCTACTGTTAATTATGTAATTGAAAAGGCTAAGGAAGAGAGAAAAGAAAGAGAATAATTAATTACTAATGTCAAAAATATTTAAACATTATTTAAAGTAAGCCTTTTCACAAAATCTGCTAAACTTATGTAATTTCAATATAAAAGAAGGTTGGGGGAGGTTTAATTAATATGAACCAATCACTCTTCATTGAAAATGGAAGAAATGTTCAGGAGTTCTCCCTATTTATATAAATTGAAATTGCTATTTATTTGTAAGGAACAAAGTAAAGGATGGGCTCTATAGCCGTGTATACAGAAGAGGGGAAAAGTTATTGAATTTATATACAAGGAACTAATGTTTACAACTTTTAAAGTAATGTTAATTCATTCATATTCTGTTGGGAAGTTTGTAACCATTTCAAACCATCTATATTATCTTCCATTCCAGTACTAAAATCAATTTTTCTTTATTAACCCTTCAATGTGGTGCCCTGGGTCAATGCAGTAACATTTTAAGATGACTTTGAGTGGAAAATGTGGTCAGTGGCACCGCAGGAACAGGTAGCCAACTGAGTGCATTCAGTGAGACTTCCAACAGGAGCATTTCAACTCAGATGATATTGGACTTCCAACTTGAAAATCTGTTACATCCTGACAATGCATTGCGTTACGTTGCGTTGCATTGCGTTGCATTGCGTTGCATTGCGTTGCATTGCATTGCATTGCATAAACTATTTTGATATTGCATGACTATTTTCCTCTTTATGCTACCTATTGCCATCACTTTAATGTAGTTCGTCAAGTTGTAATTAGTTTTTGGGAGCAGATTTTGGGCTGAATATCAAATGGTTTCGAGGATAGTAGTGTCCTGAAATGAGGTATTTCAATGTCAAGGAATTCACCACATCTAGTTCATCCAAGTATTGTATTGTTTATCATTTGTGTAGTGGAAGTTCTGACATCCCACAAACCAGAGACAACCTAAATATTCTAAAATCAGCCCATAAAATGTAATATTCCACATTTCTTCTAGCATGGAGAAGAACTTGTTTTTGTGAGCAGGGGCATTCTGGCACTTATCTACAGTTGCCCCAAGTAAAAGAAACATATTCTTTTCCGGTGTAATTCTGATAGGGGCTTTTTTTTTTTTTTTTTTTTTTTTTTTTTTTTTTTTTTTTTTTTTTTTTTAACAACATAATGTACGAATGTGATCATTTTTCTTTGTAGTTAAAGGTCATTCATTGCATCTATTTTTTATTATTATTATTATTATTTGTTGTTGTTATTATCATTATCATTATTATTTTTCCTTCTGCTTCTACTTCAGGTTCTAATTGAGAATCATTTACATTGTTTTCAATTTTTCGGTGTCAGAAATGTGGTTAGTGTACATACTTTTCCCTCTCTCTTTTTTCCTTCTTTTTTCTTTTTCTTTTCTTCTTTTTTGTTTCTTTCCTTTCCTTTTCTTTTCGTTAATGTGAGGTATTCTTCTTAATCATTCATCACCAATTCATATGCCTCATATTTGTACCCTTTCACATCTTTTTTCATGTAGTTCATCCATGTGTGTGGTAACAGTAGACATTTCCTGGAAACAAATATTAAACATGGCACTTAGTACCTTTTATGTAATAGCTAACCAATTTTTGTCAAGTTGAATTTTTAATAGATGGGTTTAGATGGGAGTAGAATTTATAGTTTTGAATAATGTTCTAAACAAATAATATGAGAGCAGATTCTAGCTTGGACATATGTGTGACATTTTCATTGTTTTTTCCCTCCTTCCATAGTAATTAACTGCTTCAATTCAAAAATTTCCATTCAAGGCTAATAATAATAATTGTTATTATTATTACTTATTAAGACTCTTGGTTGCAAATCATAGCATTTCAATATAATTTTATTGTTTTCATAATTTTGTAAATACTTGTTAAGCATGTTTTCTTGTTTTTTATGAACATGTTTTTTCTCAATTTATTGAATATGTTTATTGCCAGTAAAATGTAATATGAATGATTTCATAGAATTATTACCTCCTAATTTTTATGCATTCCTTAAATTAATATTTTAGATTTTCTACAATCTTATTCTTTCTTATATTTTTAATGTGCATGAATTAATGAACCATCTTAGCTAACTGCCTTCTCTTTTTATTAGGAGCATTCAATGCTATAATTTTGAAATTAACTTCAATCATGTCATGTGAATTACAGAAACAAATTAAATTCAATGTACATGTAAGTTGCTAAGTACAAAATCCTGGATTTTATATAACTACGTTTATCGTAGGACAAGGGCTAAAATTCTTCCAATTGGATTAGTTATCAAAAAAATTTTGGTCGGTTCACCTGATACCATTGTAGTTTATCCAAATTACTTAAAATTTGAAAAATTTGTTGTAATTCCAAGTTAATTGACATCTAAAAGGTTGATTTAAAATATTTGAGATTGTTAAATCTCAAGGTATTTGTTAGTAAATTGCCTTAATATTGTTTTAAATGTTGTACCTGTGTTTATACTATACTTTCTGTTAAAAATAAATAATATAAAACTTTAGTTATTCTGGACGTGATCTTATTTATGTATTTAGGTCGCTTTATTAACATTAAAATTGTACTTATTTTACTACTACGTTAATAAAGGACTTCAATAATTTTTATTTTTAACAGTTTGTCATGACTGGTCACTAATTTTGAAATTTTAAATGATACTTTGGATTTTCTTTGTGGTTCTGAAAATAAAATAACTTTTACAATATGAGAGAGCAATATTTTACAAATAGTGGAAGAAATAGTTCCTTATCTACTTTCAACCTTCCAACTGGTTTGAGGCTCTATGCTACTAGGCAGATAAGTGTTAATGAATTATTCTATGGGGTATATGGTAAAGTATCTTTACTTTCTTTGCCACAACCAGTGTGGAAACATCCCTTCCTAAGGTAGGATTTAAACAACCTTTAGTTTCACTCAATGCAGTTGCTGCCAAGCTCTCTGCACTTCGTAGGTCAGTGAAGGAATGGTATTGCACATTATTTAGTAATTTTCTAGCAAATTAGAAGCCTAATGAATCAGCTTTAAGGGATGACAGAGTTTATTTGTTTACTTTCCTAGCTTAAAATGTAATATTCTAAACTAATATATTAAATACTAGGTCTGTGACACCCATCTCAATTTGGTTTCTCATCCAAGTTGCTGAGATCCTCTTAGCAAATGCTGATAGGGTCCTTTTCTTTTAGAAAGTTCCTTTCAGGACTCAAAATGCTATAATGTATACTGTGATTATTGCAACTCTGCCCCTGGCAGGTATTGGCTGTTGATGGTTTGATTTAATTGGGAGCTTAAACGTCACCATTATGGTGACGTTCGTCGTCATTATGGTGACTTTAAAGCTCCCGATTCAACCATGAACAGCTGATACCTGCCAGAGGCAGAGTTGCATAAATTGCAGTATAACACACATACACACACAGTTCTTTATATAGTTTGTGTGTGGTTGTTTTTTAATTATTTATTTATTAATTTTTTAAATGCTGTGGTGTATTGTATTAAATATAGTGGCTTTGCAGTATTGGAAATGGAATGATACACAAAACATATCACTCTTAAGATGGGGGATCCTTGAAGTGACGATACTTTCCTTACAACTGTTTTATTTCAAAATTAATAGTATTTTATCATGTGTAATATGGGATAAATTATCATATTAACAAACTAGGAAAACATTAATTTATTATTTAGTAAGTATTTAAACTTTGTAGCATGTGCATTCAAAGTAAACTGGGGGCTAATGGATGTGTTTATCTTTCTTGGCAATTCAGTGGTTGCAAAAGCAACAGCTAATATTGACATAGTGTCATAGACCCATGTTCGACAGGAATTCAGTTGTATCCTCAATTGATAAAGTAACATTTTTCTGGGGATAGTTTTAATACACTAGAGGTATGTTTAAGTAATGTGATAAAATGCTAAGTTTTAAGCATTTGCTATAATATTATTTAAAAATTAATCTTCAATTTTAGTTCAAAAATGTGTAAGCAGCTTTGTTAAAGTAAATGATGTACTAATGGTGTTTGTAATTCTATATTGATAAAATTTAGTAATTATAGTGCTAAACCTTCAAAATGTTTTAAGTTAGCACCCCTAAGGAATTGCTTTGTTCAAATTTTTCCGCATTATTTAATAATAAACAAGTGTACTTTTGACTGTTTACTTGTACAATAATGTACTAATAAATGCATGTATAATATTACTATGGGCTTACCCAAGGGCATGAAACTTTGTTGCTCAAAAGAATATAATTTATTCATGGAATGGATTTGTGATGAAATTGGTTCATAGTTCCAAATATAATTGTCTTTAAAGTACTATGATAATGTTGTTGAATTGTGAAGAAAAATAAAAATGTACTTTATTATTTTCTTCAAATGTAATGCAAGAGGTATCACAATAAGATTTATATAATCATATCTGGGACATTGTGCCAGGTCTGCATGAAATATTACTTTGAAGCCAGGACAAATAATGATGTTAAACGGCTTTATTCCCCTCCTCAATACAAGACAGAAACAAACCAAACTTGACAATGTATATGTAATCTGACCTTCAAATATAGGTTATAATATAAGGTTTTTTTTTTAACGTAGTGTGTAGTAATGACAACATTGTTTTGTTTCTTTACTAATTTTTTGCTTATTTTTATTTGTTACAGCTCTTTAGGGAAGTTAGAATTATGAAGATGCTAGACCATCCAAATATTGGTGAGTTTTGTATGACCGTTGTCCGTAGCCGTAGTGTGCACCTGTGTAGTCGTCTGCTCACTCTCCTCTCTCCTGTCCTGTTCTGCCCCAGTGTAGCCTTGGCATGAGCACAGGCTGTCCTGCAGCTGTGGCCGTCATGTGACAGCTGCCGGTTTGTTTTCAGTAAAACTGTTCCAAGTGATCGAGACGGAAAAGACACTGTACTTAGTTATGGAGTACGCCAGTGGGGGAGAAGTCTTCGACTACTTGGTTCTGCACGGTCGGATGAAGGAAAAAGAAGCGAGGGCGAAATTCAGACAGGTGGGTTTCCAAACTATAATTGCAATTTGGTAGATTCCTTTATTTAAGAGTTTCATCTTTATTGTTTTATTTCGTTTACAGATTGTGTCAGCAGTTCAGTATTGTCATCAAAAAAAGATTATACACAGAGATTTGAAGGTTTGTCTACTTTGCTATTACAATGTTATGAACAAAATATAATGGAAACGCAAACCTGTGAAATAAATAATTGAGAAAATTATTTTCTTGTATAGTAGTTCTACTATATTTTTATTTGTTTTGTTGTTAGTGTCCTCTATGTAATCAAACTGTTTTCAGGCTGAAAACCTGCTACTAGATAGTGAAATGAATATAAAAATTGCAGACTTTGGCTTTAGTAATGAATTCACCCCGGGTAATAAATTGGATACATTTTGTGGAAGTCCTCCATATGCTGCTCCTGAACTTTTTCAAGGTATTATGACATGAAATTTGCTTGTTTACAGAAATTGAATCTTAGTTTTGTGGGGAAAATGTGACTGATTGTGTTTTGTTTTGTTTTTTTCTTTTTCTGTGCGTTTTACCTTTAGGAAAAAAATATGATGGGCCTGAAGTGGATGTTTGGTCATTGGGTGTGATCCTTTACACCTTAGTGAGTGGATCTCTGCCCTTTGATGGTTCGACGCTCAGGGAGTTACGTGAAAGAGTGCTTCGTGGTAAATACCGGATACCTTTTTACATGTCTACAGACTGTGAAAATCTCTTGAAGAAATTCTTGGTGCTTAATCCGGCTAAAAGGGCTTCTTTAGAAGTAAGCTTTTACATTTTTTATATTCGTTACATGCATAGTATGGGTGTGCATCATATCATAAACACTTTCTGTTCCCATTTTGTATTGATTTTTTTAGAACATCATGAAAGACAAATGGATGAACATGGGCTATGAAGAAGATGAACTAAAGCCTTATGTAGAACCAGAACCTGATTACAAGGATCTCAAGAGGATAGGTATGAAATTTGACCTGTTGCTTGCAGTTCCAAGCCTATTTAGTTAACCTTGGAATTATTGGAATTCAAATATAGATTACAGTAGTTATTAAGCTGATTGTAAACAAATGCATTTGTTGTAAATTGTGTGTGACCAAGGTTAACTAGTGTTAGCATGCACCCTGCATCCTCCTTGACCCATATAGTATGCTCAATGTTAATGAACTCCTGCTCGTGATACCACCACTGGCTCTTCTTCCAGACGCCCTAGTGAGCATGGGTTACAACCGTGGCGAGATAGAAGAAAGCTTGGCCAATGCAAAATATGACGACGTATTCGCCACATATTTACTGCTTGGACGAAAGTCCTCAGATGTAAGTGTATGCTCTATAATACTTTACTACAATAGCCATAGCCAATGAAGGAACTACGAGATATTGGTTAAAGGCTCCATAACTTCATTAACTTGTGCAATGCCAATTATATTTTGTTATTTAAAGGGGGTGAAAGTGCAAGAGATGTTCATTTAGATTTTTTTAGTTTGAAGGATATATGAGTGTCCAGATTCAAAGAAAAATATGAAAATATCCATTTTTGGTCTCCACTCTTATGATTGCTGGAAGTCCCATTTTTAGTGGAATAACATACCTTGGTATTGTACATGTTAACTTACAAAAATTAGATATAGATGTAGCATAATAGTAAAAGTAAGGTGTATAAATGCCTGATGGTACTATGGTGTTACAGCCGGAGAGTGATGGGTCACGGTCTGGAAGCTCACTGTCGCTGCGCAACATCCCTCCAGCCGTGACCCCGGGCAATGCCCAGTCTCCTTCTCACAGCCATCGCGGCGTGCACCGTTCCATCTCAGCCACCAATGCAAAGCCCAGTAGAAGGGCTTCTTCTGGGGGTGAAACTTTGCGTGAGTCCCAAGCGCAAGCGCAGCAAGGCTCGACTCTCGGGGGTGGGCTGTCCTCCAGTTCTTCCATTTACTGTCCTGTTGTCACATAACCCTAGTTGTGTTGCAGTCACTTGTATGATAAAGCCTGCATGAAGCCTTTATTGCATTCTTTACAAACATTATTTTAGTTGTGTTGGAGTAAGGATAAATTTTATAATAATGGTAGATGTACACTTGAACTGTTTAATTTTAGTTTAACTGCTACTTAATTTCATTGAACTATTGAACCACATGTGCATTTTTTCTTTTGCAATTCAGCTAATTCTTTTTCACATGGAATATTTAATTATAAAATAATATTTTCTAGGAGAGTCAAGTCTCTTCCTCCTAGCCTACCGCCCAGTCTCCTTTCATCCTAGTTTTTTCTCCCTCATCTCTCCTCTCCCTCCCACTCCACTCCCTTCTCTCCCTCCCACTCCACTCCCATCCCATCCCATCCCTTCCTTTTCACCCTTCCCACTTTTCCTCTTCCTTCCTTACTCCCTCCCTCCCTCTTTTTCTTTCCTTTCCTTTCTCCTTCCTGCCCTTTTTCCTTTCCCCTCCCTCCCCTTTCATCTTCCTCCCTTCCCCCTCTTCGTTTTTCTTTCCCTCTTCTACCCTCCGTCTTTCCTCTCTCCTTCCCCTTTCCGTCCACCTAATGTGTTAACTGCCAAAAGTTGCTCATGAAAGTGGTGTGGGGAGAAGAGAACTCCTTGGTAATGGTTTTATGGTTTATATTAGTAATATCCTTTTTTAGAACAATGGGTAGAAGAAAAAAAATAATTATGCTAAAGATGTAGAATGGAAGGAATTTGAACAAGACATGATGTATTTGTCGAATATTTAATTCATTAGTAGAACTGTTTCTTCTCGCTTAATTTTTCTCTTATCCTCATTTTCTTTTCTTGCACTTTCTTACACACATGGGGTGATAGAAAGTGTAACCAGATAGTTTTGAAATATTTCTTTTTACAATATTAGAAGAAAGTTATTCCATTTTAAAAGGCTCTCAAGAAATCATTATATCCATGGCCAAAATCCTGTCTTTCAAACTAAAAATTTTTCAATCTGAAAAGAGATTTTGACAGCCATTCTGTAATAGTTTGTGCAGGCTGTAAAATTGAAAGGAAAGCTATTAATTTCTAATTTTTTTGTTAATATTTATTCTAGAATTTGCTGAATTGTGAAATATCAAGGAAACAAAAATGTAGTGCATTTATAGATTTTCTTGTAAATTTCTTGTTTGTGGGAAAACAAGTGAACTATCGTATTTTAGTTTTGATCTGGTGACATGATTTAAGTGGACATCATTTTAGGAGTATGAATTGGAAAATATTTTATTCTTTGAACAATTGTTTGTGATTTATATTGAGGCATCCTTTCATATTGAGCTGGAATGATATCTTTTTTTTTCCTTGCTTTTTTATCATTACTGTTGTCGATACCTAATGTTCTTGCTTATTTGTAGTTTACGCATGAATTACAGTCAGTGTTATGAGCGTGTTAGTGTTGAAGGTATTTAGATTATTGACTGCTCTAATTGTGTGTATTATTGCATTTATTTCTGCGTAATTTTTAATTGTGGATGTGGTAGATGGTTTAACCTGGGTTTATCTGTATGGTTAAAAAATGCTCAAAGAAAAATTTATTCACATATTATTCCCTTGAATGATAGTGTTTTGTTATTACTGTTCATTTAGAATATTTTTATTGCTATCAAACTTACTTAGTGTGGTAATTAAATATTTCTCAGGTTCTAAAGTATGGTGTGTGGTGTAATTAGATCTATGGAATAGGTGATTTATGTTCCAAATAGAAATCTTTCTAAAGCCAAATATTTAACATTATAAAACATTAGTTTTCATTTATATTTTAAACAAGTATGAATATAATAAAAAGTCTTCAAAATTAAAAGTATATTGAAGCAAGTCATAGTATTATTAGATATTAATCTGTGCAGAGAAATGTCCCTTATTAGGTCTTATAATATACCTGGGGATATAAGGGATTATAGGGATATAATGTACCTTATATTATATCCCTATAATACATGGGAGTCCGATTTATAATCGGTCTTGTGCAGTGTCATTCGGCAAGTTCCTGCAACTTCTACTATGCTACTACTGCTAGTAGTAGTAGTAATAATAGTAGTAATAATAATAATAATAATAATAATAATAATAATAATAATAATAATAATAATAATAATAATACCTTGCTCAATCTTTATATCTGAAAGAGCAATATCAAATTTAAATGGAATTTACTCTTCTAAGCATTCATTTTGTATTCAGCTTCATTAATAGTATTACTTAAAGAATCTGTTATTGAAATTGAGCATTGATTATAATAATTTACAAAAATGTTAATATCCTACTCGCTGTTTTGACAAATTTTTTAAAAGTAGTATTGATTGAGCACAATTCATTCAAAGGGAAACAATTAGAAGAAGAAAATAAACATTAGGTGAAATTAAAAAGACAGTTAAAATTCAAGAGATTTTTCTGAAAAAACAAAACAAAAACAAACTAATATTATTTCAGAGACATAAGCTTCCACTTCAATAAAGATAATAAATAACATGTGTATGCATTATACTGTTGTGTATATATGTTATAAAAGTGCAACAAAGATTAATTTTAGTAAATGATCTTCATGTGTATGTTGACAAAAAAAAATAATTCTATTTTGGTTGTAAAGTTAAGCAAAATCACACAGTCAGATTCAAATCAAACAAGATTGAATGATTGATGCATCTTTAATATGTTGACATAGAAAATGTACAAATCTTATTGATTCATTTTTAATGAGAAGCAGATTCATTCCTAAATAGCATATTCCTAATAGGATGGATAAATACTTCAACATCATTGTTTCACATGTGTGAAAGGAAATGGGTGAACAACAGAAAACTGCCTTGACCATGAGGAAATTGTGAGAAAATTGGAATGATTTTTAAAAAGCAAAATTGAACAGTAAAAAATTGTGTTATCTTCGTGAATAAATCATTGAATAGTTATTCTTCTGATTACATTGAAATAGTAGATATGCTCGTTAGCAATGCTTCAATGGCTTTTTGTGCATTACATTATTTCTTGCATGTTTTTCCGTTATTTTGTGGCATTGTGATTAATTGTTGTGTGATTGTTTATTATTGTAGTGTTTGTATTATAGAATTCTTATGTGCCTTTGTCTTGAGTGATTTTTTTTAAAAAGAAATCAATAGTAAATTTGTTTGTAAAATACAATGATTTCAATGTCTGCAAATTTTTATAAATTGTTAGGGAAGAATTGTTAGCATTAGCAGAGACAAAAGAATGAAGCATCAGTTTTAAATGACTTTGAGATTCTTGCTACCAGTTTAGTTTTTTCTTAAAAACGAACTAAGGAAATCCCATAATTTCTCCTCTCATAACATGTCTTTTTTTTTTTCAAACCAACTTTTATGGCAAATGAAAGTTAAGTGAACCAGTTGCCTGAAAAAAATGTTACAAAAATATTGCAGTCCTTTCAAAAATTGTGAATGAGGATGCGGTCCTTTCAAAAACTGAATCTTGCATATATATTTAAAATACAAATTTGATCATTAAATGTTTTCTGTTTCAATACTACAGGGAGAGTCATGGAATATTGTTTTGATATTAGCATATTTCACCTGAAAGATCAAGTAGTGATATTTGGTGAAAATATTAAAGAAATACATTTTGATTGTATATTAAATAAGATCTGAAGGAAATAATAAGTAATTTACTAGACTGACTTTCAAATTTTTATAGATAGTTGTAATTCATGTTGTAGGAACACCAACCACAGTGGCCCAAAATGCAACAAATCACAATCATGCACCTGCTAGTAACTTCAAGAGGCAAAACACTGTGGATTCAGCTACAATTAAAGAGACCACAGCCAGAATTAATTCTGGAAGCACAGTGACTAGACCTGTTTCAACCAAGAATACTGCCAATATTCCTGTGCTGGAGAGTGAGTGTATGCATTTGTTTTGGCGTTTCTCTTAAAGAAATAATAAATATTACATATATTTCCTTTCACACTCTAATTTTTTTCTAAACCTCTATCCTGAACTTCAAATTCAAATCAACAAACAAATGAGAGATACATTTTTTACTCCCTCATCTTGCTACAATTTACTTCAGTATTTGGTTAATTACTTCTAATTAAAAATGTGGTATATTCAAATTTTATGATTCATTGTTTATGGCAATGAAATGCCCATGGTGTGTGGGTGGTTTTTCTTTTTTTCCTGTTATTTCTTATTAATTTTTACTTTTGTTTATCTGCCAGTATTGTGTGTTGGAGTTTTTAAAGAATTTTATTCATCCACTGACCTATTTTTATAAGAATCGTATTCATATCACATTCACTGTGTTTCTACTTCTCAAGCAGCCTTTATGTTTCTTGCTGTTGCACTCAATACCACCACCCACAGTTTCTGCTTCTCCCATTGCTGCCAGTAGCTCCTCTATGTTCACATGGAGACAAATATATGGCACTGTCATAACCCACTTTTACTGTTTTTGCTATTATTTCTACTATTTATTATGAACTCCCTCCCTGGTGTCTAATAAAGTTGGATCCGTCTATTGCCACTGCTACATTGTTGCTGTGGTACACTTTTGTACCTTGCCTTTACATGTGCATTTTTCTTAGGTGTGGGGAGTGCTGCAAGTCCTGGAAAACCTCGTGGGGTGACGAAGTCAAATACTATGACAGGTGGAAACCGAGCAGTACTCCCTTCGAGTGGTGGCTCTGTAGGAAGACGAACGACAATTAGTTATGATGCTAAGGCGGCCTCTAATGAAAAAACAAATGCTGCTGGGGAAGCACCTAGGTAAGTTTTTTTCTAGTAATAATAATCATTATGCTCCATGTGTGAGAGCTTGTCAGCTTTACCCCTGTACTGTTATGGCACATAACCTGCTTTACTTCTATTGATACATTTCTCTGTTCAAGCTGATATGACAAAGTGCTGCTTGGATAAAGAATCTTTAAAACCATTTAGCTGCAAATTTAGTCATCTGTAGCCGTTATTAGTGTGGTTGGGATTTATTAGATATAGTAGAGAATTAATTGGTAATGTTTTTCAATATTATGGCAAAGAGTGAAATTGACAGGTTATTTGTGTGGTTTCTTTACTGGGCAAATTTTAAATATACTCTATAAATACAAAACACTACATCAAATAGAGATACCAATGTTAGATGTACATTTGAGGTTAACCAAATGCTTGAAGTGAACTCTTAAAGGAAAATTAATTGTTTTACTTAGGTTACCTGTGAACATAGCCTTTGTATTAAGCAAGTCAGTTCTTCAAAACTATTAGGTAAACTTTCAAACAAGAGAAGAGGGAGAAGTAGGCAATTGGAAAAATATTGAGGTGTGCAAACACTCTTTGCCGGAGTTTTACATCATTTTCTAAAGGTTCTTAAAATTTTCTTTGAAAGAGGTATTACCCCTTCATTTTACTTTTGCTCATGAAGCACTGCAATATTTTTTTCAATGAACTCGATGCAGACTGAATGAGTTCATTGTGTACAGTAGAGAGAAATAAAGTAGAGTTTAGACAGTAGTGAGCAAGATGTAAAAACCCAATCGGAGCCAGGCATTGGTACACAATCCTTTTGTAGTAAAGATGTGCAAAGTAAACAAAACCTTTTTAGTACTTTTTGAGAATGAATCATTGTTGTATATTACTATAATAATGATTTATGTGCCAGACTCCTAGTTCATTTTTACAGCGACAAAATGAATTTTAATTTTTGGGTTTTGGGTTTTTAAATCCATTTTACTTTAATATTTTCCCAGAAATGTAATGTCTAGAACTTCTTTCACAGTGTTCTAAAGTTTCCACATTATTTGCTTAAACTTAAAATACTCTAAAAAATTCTATTCACTTAGCATTTCAGAAATCGCCTAAAAGTTTTTACTTTCTTTCTTTCTTTCTCAGTCTTGAGTAATAATCTTGAAATTAAGTTTTGTTGTTTTGCTGAGGCTTGTTACTTTTCAATTCAATTCAATAATTAATAAATTTAAAAAAATGATCAAGGGTTCTTTAATGTTAATCTCACTGGTGTTTTTGTTTTTGAGATCTTTAAACACTATTAGAATATTAATTTGTCATGTGATGTTGCAGAAAAGGGGAAAACAATTGTATTCTAATTTTTTTGTTGAGGAAATATATTAGAATCACCTGAAACAATACGATCTCAATTATTGGTCATAAACTCTATATATAATGTTCTTTTGAGCTGTAATTCTGCGCACGCACACACACACACACACACACACACACACACACACACACACATGCACGCACGCACGCACACGCAATAAGGTTTATTAGTGCTGTTCCAAAAATGGTTTAAGGTTGATGCAGGTGGAGATGAGATACATGCAATGTACCTGAAAATCAGGATGTATATATGGATGGATGTGCCATATGTAACTCTCAAATTAGAAATTTTTGCACTGAAACTTGATAAATATGTCAGGAGTAAGGTCTAGTTTTGTTGTTCTAGTAATTATTAAGATTTTCTTGAAATTTTTTGTTCATATACAAAGAAAGCGCATTTATACGTATGGTATAGTTCCAAGTTTCATTGAAGCCCAAGATCTACAGAAAGTGGCAAAAATCTTTGTATTTAAAACACTAAGATTATTCCTTTACAAAGAAGATTGAGCTTTCCATTCAACCAATCGCATCATTTTTTGCTTAAAATAAAAAGTAGTGGGCTCCAGATGTTATATTGCTGACTTGACTAGTTTTATAGTATTAACAGTAAATGTTAATAAAATCATAATATTAATAGAATGGAATGCTTATTTGCATTCATTTTTTCATTATTACCTCTTGCGTTGTAATCAATCCATCAAAAGCATTTAACATTTCCTCTTCGAGAAAATTTTGGATTGTAAGTTTGTAATTAGAGAAGCTAATTCAAGTTTCCTAAAATTCAAAAAGAAGTTTAATACAAAGATTTGTAATATAATGCCTAATGCCTAAAGTATGTTAATTCAAGGTCTAGCAATCGTCTGCCATAGGTCTTTTGACATACAAATTTGGCACGTTATAATTGTGGTGCATTACGTTTTTAAGCTAAGGTGGATATTAGGATTCCTTTGTCATTTTCCTTACAGCATTTATATACAGATCTTGTAATAATAAACATTTCATTTACATTTTTAGGAAGATGGTAAAATCTGGATTCACAATAATGGTGATTGTATTGTTCCAGAATGTGTAAACCTATCTTACTTCAGTCACCTGCAGAACTAATTCCGAACAACATAAAATAATGTTTTTTGAGATATTTTTATTTGCTTACTTTATAGATAATGTAGAAACTCTTTTAACTTTTCTCGTCACATTCCACGCCTATCTAATGTCATTTGATCTGCTCTTAACATGGATTTGGAGTGGCTGAAAAATAATTATACCTCTACAGAAGTGTACACTTTTTTCACCAAACAAGAGTTTTATTCGAAATATACATTCGTTATATATGCTTGTTAATTGGTTATTGAGAAGCCGATGCTCAAGTGAATAGTAATACTGTCTTGCCAGTGATACATCCAGGAAGTGCAGATAATGGTGCGTAGCCCCCCACCTCGAACAATGATGCAACACAATGTTCTGTAAAAAAATATTTGATAAATTTTGATTGAGTTACATGTGGGCTCTCTAAAACATAAGCAATCGCGAGGGTGGTTGAAATCATGTCTGCTTCACATGATATCCGCTCATTCTTAATTCTGAAAACCCAGCTTCCAAGAAGCAGGGGAGGGATATGATTGACAATTCAGGGCAAAGGTCGGGTAGTCAAAAAAATATGGTAGCATTCCATGCTGTATAAGAGAGACTATTCCAGTAACTTATATTTCACCTAAAATGAAACCTAATATAAAAATAAATAAATAAAAGATTCAATGTGGTGTGTGTGTTTATATATATGTACTGTTTATATATACACACACACACACACACACTCGTGATACATTTTTTTTTAAATTATAAAAAATTATCCATTCAAGAAATTATGATGTATGGCCAGGTTTCACATGATGACAGTCTTTCATTAAATTGAAATTTTAAGAACTCTCTAAAGGAAGAAAAAAGACATCAAAATTGAATTGAATTTGCCTTATTTTACGTGGCGAGACTCGGGCTATCAGGCCCGCTCTTCCGTCTGACCACGCAAATTTCGCTACGCTCCTTTCACCAACTAGGAGAGAAAAGAGGTATTTCTTGGGCGTGAAACAGGCGATTTGAATTTAGCTCAGAGGCGTCATTTAGGCTTGAGGATCTTTTACATGCAAGTAAATCTACGAACATGGGACAGCCGGCTTTACTTCCCCTCCGAAGGAAGGCTTACGAAGGATTTTTTGCCCTTAAAAATCCACGGCTTTGATCAAAATTACAATAGAATGTAAATTAATTAAATTGGAATTACCTTTTCAGAAAAAGGCATGGTGTTTGGATCTGGTGTTTTCATTTTATATGTTAATCCAAGACCGTGTGTTCTGTATTCAAATTTAGAGTAAGGACACTTTGCCTTGAGCATCATACACCTGAAATGCATTCTGACATAAGTACATTTATACATTCATTCATCACACTGAAACATTCTTAAGAACAAATAAAAGGACAGCTCAATAATGAAGGTCTTCTGGTCAATAAATAAAACATTTCCAAATATTTGAATGAAGGAACAATGAACATTGATGGCTCATTTAATAATATGATTTTTAGAAACCATTACAACCATAAATGCTATGTAGTTTAGCAAATAATGCTTAACTTGAATAAAATGAATTTATTCTGTTAATCAATTGTAACTGCTCTTTTCTTTGTAAAAGTGCATTCTACTAAGTAAAGCATATCAGTTCTTCACCTGCACTCACATTTATTAAAGTAAGTTTTAGGTATGTAGTATGTTAAATTTTGGCTTCCTCTCAGAGGTTACGGAAAGGATATCTATCATTTTTCTGATCTCAAAAACATTGTAGGGACAAGTGTGTCTCATCAAAAGAGATAACAGAAGTAAGTGAGGGTCCTTGAAAGAAATGTTGTGCGAATATACAATTGAGTTAAAGAATTTAATTGTAAATTTGCCAGTTTAAGAGAATCCAATTCTGCATTGAATCTATTAAAATTACTAGTGTGTATGATTCCCCTCTTGGTACTATGGTCTTGCCTGTCACTTCGAGGTGTTATAATGTATCGTCCGAATCTTTTCGTCATGTTTTTGGATAATTGTTTTTGTACAAGTTTGCACATCTCAATGTTTGCAACATAAGTTTTCTACTTGTTTCAATGTTTATAAATAAGTTGCATTAAATGTTTTGGATAATTCTCTTGGGATTGAAAATAACTCGATTATTAGGTCATAAATCAAAAGTCATTCCAATAATAGAGAATTGGTTCAATTACTAGTAGTGTTACAGCCTCTCAGCCGCCTTAATGCTAACTGCATGTGTCTAAGAGGCTGCTCTGCCTAAAATCAAGCATTTGCCTGGACTGATGTCTGTATGCAACATTAAAAAACAACTCACAAAGTGACATCTAACCCAGATAGGATATTTATCACTAACATTGTTTCTCCTTGCATGGTTCTTAGAACTGGATGTGTCAGTTGTAAAATGTTGAGACAGGTAAGATGAACTCTTCAAGAAAAATTAAATGTGTGTTTAGTCCATAAAATAAGACTTTTTTTAATTTCTGACTTTTTTTAAAAATAAAAAAACGTTATTGACTTGCAAATTTATATTGGGTGGGTTATTAAAAGCACATTTGTGTGACTCCCGATTGCTGCAGATCATCCTCTGACGTCAGTGAGAAAGACAAACAAAAGACTACCTATTGACAGTAGAGACATTTCAACATTTTTGAGTTAGCAATCACATAGAACGTCTAAGGTTTGATGAAATTCATGTATTGTCCTGTGGCAACAGAGAATCATTTTATTTCTTTCATCGTTGAATCAGACAGTAAACTAATCTGTGTGCCACATTTTAAATGTTTAATTTCCCGATTTCATAATATAATTTTGAGATTTCCCATGAGTTAATTATTTCTTTATTTATCTCTTGGTTCCATCGTGACTTACTGGTTTTTCAACATTTTGTTCATGGAATGTGGAAATATGCGGAATATTATCCAGAAAATTGTTTAAATTTTCCTTTTCCAAATTGTGTTGTGAAATTAAGCTAAGAATTCTTGAATTGTAATAGCTACATATTAGTTTTAGCTGTTTGCAAAAGGCAAAGAAATTTATTATTAGAAGAAGAAGAAAAAAATTGAAAACTTCATTTAAAATAAATTTTAAACCATTATTTTTTCAATAATTTTTTTATTTATACTTTAGAGTGGATAATGCTTAAGAATCACCATTTACATAATTGAAAAACTACATGGCATTGGGCCCTTAAAGTTTGGGATGCTAGCTTCGAAGATAGAGATTGTTGGTATGCGGGTGTTTGTGTGTCCAGCTCTCTGGGTGCTGGAGATGGGCTGCCTTCCCGTTCAGCTAAGGGCCATATCAAGTCTGCTTCCATCTCGACAGCTGGCCGAGCTGACCATGGGACCTTAGAAACCCCTCTAGATCCACTCAGACAAAGGTAGTATGTTTTGGCTTTTAGCCAGCACTTAGACACACCCTCCAGTCCAACAGAGTAGCAGCAAAGGAGTAGTATTTGCCTCCCCATCCTCCTTGTATTGGTAGTTCAGAATCTTACATGAACAAAGAATTCAAAAACCCTTTTTTGTTTTCAGCATTGCTCATCTTCATTGTAGTTCAAATGAATATCTTGGCTAATTAAACGATCTGTGTTAATAATTGCCTTCACATGAACTTCATGTACTAACAATTTAGTCAATTTTTCTAATTTTGTCTGAGATCAGTCAAAATGCAGGAAGTAATACTACTAGTGCCACAGCAGGTTGAAGAAATTCATTTCATAATTCATCATTCCAAGATGATGATCTCAGTGTGATTCTACAACTTGGCACATCTATAATGTGATTCTGTGTATGTGTTAATGTGTGTCTCAAATATGTAATGCTGCTGTGAGAGATTGAATTTACCCCATGTTACTTGCCTGCCCTTCAGTGAGAAGGGAAAGATAACCTTCCTTATGACCTCACACACTTTGCATGTTGTGCAAAAGCCACCTTCTCTCCATCAGTGCATGCAAAGTTTTGCTGTTGATGAAGAGAATTCCAATGTTGCTCTGCCTGGTTGGAGGGCTGTGTCATCCACACCTTTCAAGAATGATTGTCTGCATGTAGCATGGCATTTAGTTTGAATATTGTTATTTTGTTATTTGTGTGTGTCAAAACATTATTTGTGTGTAAAATACACTAACATTTAAGCATAACCTAATTAGAAACGGTTACTATACACACTTTCTTGACAGTTGCTGCCAGGTAAAGTATGTTGGGCATTTCCAGTTCAGCATCTTCCAAAGATACATATTGTGTAAATATAGATTTCTCCATCTCCTATACTCTGTTGCTAATCAGTAGCATAACAAACCCAAATAAAAATCACAAACTAAAACTTATTATTGACCCTAAATGTGTAGGGAGTAAACTAAAACATGCTGTTCTCAATGGTACCTTTTTCAATAAAGAAGTCTAGTGACTTTTTTGCTGGGTCAAGTTTTGTAAATAGTTCAATTTTAAATACATGACGAGAGAATAATTTTAGATACATTTCATCTGTGGCTGGGATTATTGTTGCTCTGGTAGTGCCTTCTTGGCATCTTATTTTATCATAAAATTCTGATCTGAATAGTAAGTACAGTTTCAGTTCAACTTCACTTTTCTATTGTGAAATATTTTCAAAGAGAAGGATAGTGATCTTTGTAGTAGTAGTAATAGTAGTAGTATGTGGCATTGACTTCATTTCAATATGTGTTTAGACAGGCGCGGATCCACAAGAAGAAAATGAAGGAAATCCCCCCTAAGCATTTTTCAGTGACATAACTTTCAAGCAAAAATATTTTTGGATAATCTTTAAATGAATAAAATCATACCGCAGGAAGAGCTAAGTCCAGCCTGCGACATTTTACAGAATCTGTAATATGGCACATTCGGCCAAAACCTTATGAATTTCCCCTCCCCATATTGGTCACTGGATCTGCCCCTGGTTTAGACAATGCTAATTCAAGTTGCATAGACTTGTTCCAAAACATTGTAAAACTAAGCATTGTAGGTTTCCAGCAGTTCATGTCTTAATCTATTCTGTTCTTGATGGATCAAAATTTTAATATTTCTTGTAACATGTAAAAACGTATCAAAAACATGATGAGGAACTTCAGAATTTCAATTTTTGATAATGAAATCCTCTGAGAATTACGTTGAAAAGTTGAATCAGCAAGCCAAGGTATCAAACAGTCATTTTTAATGCTTGTTTGGAAATTCTTCCCCCTCCATCCTTTCTCTTTTCTCTTCTCCAAACTTTATATCAAATTGACCTAGTTTTAAATAGTATTAATCATTTCTGATGATCAAGAATAAGGCTGATAAGAATTAAGTTTGATAATGTATCCTCAGGAATTTGAGACTATCAATAACAAAAAATTACCAGTATTAAATTTACTGATGAAAATGGTTAATGTATGTCATTTTTATTTTAATTATTAAATTAATTTATTAATTATTTGCGTAGTGCATATAAGTTTAAATGCATCTTCAGGTCATCACGTACTGAAATTAACATAACAGAGCATTAAAATATTGATACTTTGAGATTAAAACTAATTTAGGGTCGTAACTACAAAGTTTGTTTGGGAGAGACTTCACAAGATTAAAATCAATTATCACTAAGAGTATTAAAATTCATAGTAGACAATCAAATAAATCCATTCAAATAAATATAACTTTGAACAGCAAATAGCCCAATAATAGAGCAAAAGCTCTTTGCGAAGACAACATCTCTAATGAGACAGCACAATGTCGACTACATAACAGAGGTAGTTCAGGATGACTGTCAGAGCTAAGATAGAGAGGAATGGAGAGAATTAGTCTGGGGTTTAATGAAGGTAATAAATTCTATTACATTATTATTGCTATAATTATTATTATTATTATTATTATTATTATTAATAATAATATGTATATACATACACACTCACTCTCACACACACACACACACACTTTTCTGTGATTTGATGTTCTATCAATGTTTCTTCTTCTCTCTCTTCCAAAAGGCAGAATCTAAACATTCTTTCTTTTCACAACTAAGCTTCCTAATGAGATTCTTATGCTTAGAAACATGTTCAGAGATGCTAAGAATCCCTATTACAAGCAGTACAAATAGTATAAAAAACATTATGGGGTAATACTGATGATTGATAATGCTTTTCAATTAAATCATGAAGTTACAAAATCAACACACTAATTTAAATATAAATGTGGAATAAAACTAACAATGGGGGAAAATGAAACTCTCAGAAGAATTCAGTTAGCATACAAACAAAATTATGATTGTGAGACCACCTGCTAATATTAATAATACACAAGATGTTAGGAATTACTTGCCTATTACCCCTAACTTCAGTATTTGGCAAACTCTATGAAAATGTTATGGTAGCAATTGGTGTTTGTGAATCTAATAATTCTTCCTTTATAAATCATAATATGGCTTGAGAAAGGGCTTCTCCACCACCAGTTCTGTTGAATTTGTTCATGAAATCATTAGGGAATTGGAATCAAGTAGGAAAACATCAGGTATATTGATTGATCTTTCAAAGGCGTTTTGTTAGTGTATCTCATAAAAAATCTTTCACAAAACTAGATTATTTTGGAATAAAATGTGGAGTTAATGACTGCATTAGGTCATTCCTCACAAGCAGTAAGTAATGTACAGAGATATTATGGCAATCTGAAAATTCTTATTCAAAGTTAAAATTAAATTTTTACACAATTACCACAGGTGTTTCGCAAGGATCTGTGCTTGGACCTTTGCTATTTCTATTATATGTTAACGATATTCCAATATCCTTTGATTTCTCTGTAATTTCATAAGTAGAAGATTCAAAATTATTTAGCAGTGGGCAAAATCTTTGTCACCTAGAAACTAATCTGACTGAATCTTTAAAACCAACTAAAAGTTATTTGTCAATAAATGAATTGAAATGAAATGTTGATAAAACTGAATCAATCAAGTCATAAGATTCTAGGAATATTAATAAATAAAAACTTAATTTATAACTAACATGTTGACACACTTTTTAATCAAATAAACCCCAATATTTTTCTCTTGAGTTACTTTTCCAGATACCTGGAAACAAATGCACTGCATTCAATCTATTATGGCATATTCTTCTCACAATTCCAATATGGTATTGAAATACAGGAGGTAGAACACAAAAAATACGGATAGATTAATGGTCCCACATAGAGGACAATTATATACATTATAATCATACATTAGGATTATTGGTTCAAATGTGTTAATTGAGAGGTAAATTAAAAAGAAGTATGTGTGTCTGTGTGAAAATAATATTTTCATCAATTTTTCAAATGTATATCTTAAATAATTCAAGTCAATGTGCTACACATTAGAATTTTATTTTAAGAAACTATAATTTGTTTTTATTACTTCTTTCCTCACTTGCATTATTTCAATTAATTGAATCTCATGGTTACAGGTTAGTACTGTCAAGAGACAGTTGTTTTCCAATTCTTTCAATTATTTTCATTTTGAAACAAGACCTATGTGAATAGTTTCCAGTAATTTTCATGTTCATTCTGTGATTCTGATGAAAACTGTTTAAAAAATGTTTGACATGTAATTAAAAGATAAAACATTGTTCATAAAATGACTTTACATACAATAATACTATTTCACTTTCAAATTCAAGTATTCAACAGACATTATAAGAGTGTAGTATGTTAGTGAAGCCTGTGTGGTGGAGCATTAACTTGACTAACGTTCTTTTATTTATAACTTTCTGTCAATTACATGAAATTAGTAATAAAATAATTGTTTAGAACATAATTTTCTAAGTCAGAGTAAAAAAAAATTCATATATATAAATACAAAAACTTGTTCCTCATGACTGACAGTCATGTAAATGCTGTAAGTGATGTAAGACTGACAGTGATGTAAATTTGTAAATGCTGATGCAGACATTTTAAGTGTGTGTGTGTGTCTGTGTGCGCAAGGGTGGGTGCGTGCGTGCGTACGCGCGTGCGCATAAGTAGTTGTGGTATTGAACATGTTTCTGTTTTTATTTTCTTTAAACTTTATTTCTTATGTACTCTTCACTTCTGTCAATTTCCCTAATGTTTTAACCTGTCCTGACATTCACTCCCAGATGTTCTGAATTTTAGAAATTAAATTGGTACAATTATGTATCTTTGCATGATAAACTTATTGTAAACAAAAATATACTTACAAGTGATAAAGAAAAGAAATTGTGTGAATGGTGTTTCAGCACCGGTGTGGGACGTGGCCCACCTGTCTCTCCTGCTGGAAGCAACCGTCAACCATTCCCACGAAATGTACCGAGCCGCTCAACGTTCCACAGTGGCCAGAATAGGCGCAATCACACTACATACGGACCAGCAACACCTCTGCCTCAAGATACTTCTGCTATTAGTCACTCTGGAAGAACCTCATCCTTTTTCTCCAAACTTTCATCCAGATTCTCCAAGCGGTAAGTACACACCTTCAACCCACAATGTAACAATTGCCCTGCATTGATTGCTTGCATTCCCCTTGTTTACATTGTTATTCAGCAGTTTTTAATGTCATTGTTTGGCATTTCCTGCTGTTAAGTAACTGGTCACTTATTCCACCATTGCTTTCCAGTTTATTTTATATTAATATGTTGTCAGAATGGCTTTTTCCAGTATAATTGAAGAATTCTACTGATTAAAAGTCTCTTTAAGTATTCTGTATGCACCATATACAGATCTGAAGACAATGTGAATTGCACATCTGTGCTGTTAGAAAAATGTTTGCGCATTTTCTATTGTTTTAGTGTTCCTAATTACTATCTAATCCATCTCTGTTCCCTTTTCTTATCTTGCTGTCCTCTCCCCACCATTGTATTGGGACAGTCCCTAAAGCAAAATTTTATAATGCTTATTATTTTCATTCATGAAAGTAACATATAAACAATTTCTTAAAGTAATGCAACTGCTGATTTAGCACTTGATCAAAGTTTTCTTCATAATTAAAAGTCTGAAAGATGCATTTTATGAGGGGGAGACACAGATCTTTATGTAACATTCTCAAGATTGATTTGGCCAGTTACATGCTGGACTTGGTCCAGTAAGCAGGGGAATTGAGGAAAGGGCTCTCTCCCAACACACTGCATGACAGCATTCACAAGACTGAGGCTTGTAGCCGAAGAGTTTTAAGATATGCATTTGTAAATGTTCTCAAAAGTGTTACTTTGCCATTGTCGTAGTATTAAAATCATAATTTTAATGTTACAGTTTACTCCAGACTTTTAATTCAACTAGTGCCATTGTTTCAGGAATGTTAATCTGTACTAGAAAGTTAAAAATCTACATTATTATGTTTCTTTAATTTTATGAAGGGGGTCAGCAAAATTCAGCCTTGTAGGCAAAGAGTAGCCTGGGTCACATTATGGCTTTTCCAATTTCCTGAAGGAAGACAGAAATGATGTTTTGTAGTTTTAAATAATGACATATATTACATACAACAGACAATATTCTGTTTTTAATGTTTATAATTCTCAATAATGTACAGCATATCAAAACTTAAATTTTGCGATAATAGAGCATACACATATTGAGTAAGTAATAATTTGCTTTCAAGTACCCATCATTGCTCATGTGCATTGTATATTCCAGATATTTGAACCTTATGTATCAATACATCAATCTACTTGCATGAACAAGTAAAAATTGGTGTTCTTCAGAGCAATAAATCTCAGTAATTATGATTTATAAAAGAAAAATAATGATTTTGCTAGAATTTAATGTGGTAGAAAGAAGATAACAATGATGCTTTTACTAAGTATTGAAGTTTGACATCTTTACTGATTAGTGATTTACTACTTTAGTGATTTACTTGCCCTGAACCTGAAAACCCTGAAAAATTGTTCTAGAAGAAAAATACCTTGCATGTGTTTCAAGATTAAGAATAGTCCAAGACAGAACTAGTTGATTTGAACCTAATCATTTTCTTCTACAAACTAGCCTCTTCCTCTTGATAGAGTAAATATTTTAGTAGTGAAAAATTGTTTCCAAATTAAGAACTCTCCTTCCTAAAACTGTCAAGCAACATAATGGGTATGTGTATATATACACACCTAATTTGAGAACCTAATGTGACACCTAATTTGAGAACAGGATTTATTCAAAAATACCCACCACCTTGCCCACAAAATGTATTTTACCAAGTTAGCACAACATGACTTACACATTCAATGCCTTTAGGAATGCGTGGATTAACATTGAACTTCTATGTCTCAAGTTGATAGCTTGTATAGAGTGTTTGTCAATTTTGCTCCCCAATTGTAAGCGTGCTTAAAATCTGTGCTATAGTTTGACCTTAATAAACTATGTTGACGGTGTGGTACACAAGTACCTTTATCCCACTTATCATATTTCTATTGGAAGCAAATGTATTAATTACAGCTTATTATTGTTATTTTTATCTTCTTAACATACAGGGTTTTATTAGACATTGTGATCATGAAAAATGTTTTCCTCAATGATGCAATATGTTGTAGTTTGTCATCTGGGCAAAAATTGATCCACCTACTGTTGTTTATGTTGTCTCTGGCACTGTTTGCTGACCTCCTGATTTGTTATTATTTGCAATCCATTTTATTTATTTCTGAGAGTTTTCTATTTTGTAAATAATCTGGAGAAAAGAATTATGTTTAATTCTTGTTTTAAAGCACAGAAAGCATGAAAACACTTTGTAGGCAGAACTTAAAAATATGTTCATCATGTTCAAATTATTTTGAATGGCATTTGTCGTAATATTGTATTAAGAAAATGTATGAAATACGATAGTTCATCAGTTTTGTAAGCAGTAAATGCAAACATTTTTACAGACTTCATTTTCTCAACAATGACATTTTAGAAGCATTTAAAAAAGAAATATTCTCCAAGCACCATTTAAATTATATCAAATTTGAATTACATAGACAAAAGAGAAAATTGTAAGCAATTTTTTGTTGAATACACTAACAGTTAATATCTATGCACATTGCTATTGATGTCTTGTTTGTTCTTTTGTTGATGTCATATATTCTCTACATTTTTTTAAAATAGAACATGTCTTGTGTAAAACAGTTTTGAAAAAGACTGGTATGTTGATATAGAGTAGGTACAAAAGAGACTGGCAAAATATTTTATGAATTATCCCTGTAATCCTTGTGAAGTTTTTAAATACTCTTCATTAACTTATTAAAATATGATTTCACAATTCATAAGATATTGCAGCAAAATTATTATAAAACATCGTAAATAAAATAAAACAAAAATTATTTGGCAGAAATAAATGTACATTTTATATATTTTGAATTTCTGCAAATGTTGTTTCTTACATTTTCTTTTATGTATGCATGTTAAATTTTTGTAAAATTTTAGAGGTTTTTGCAGACTTTTTTTTGCATGAAGTTTATTTTAACAAAATAAAACTTGTAAAATAGACTGTCAGTCTCATTCGGTACATAACAAAATGTTTTGTCAAAAGCAACCAATAAATAAATATTTAAAATTGAATTTCAGTATTATCTTCTTCAAAAAATATGTGCAAGTTTGAAGAAGAATCTATGATGGTGAGAATTTCTCTTCGGTACCAAATTTTTATTTTTGGCCGAATATGTTGAAGATGTAGTATTTATGAAATAAAGAACTGCAGGACTATTAAAAAAGCCAATATTATAACCACAAATTTTTATATTTTAAATTTATAAATAACCATACAAGTTATATCAATTTAAAATGTTACTATTCGTATACAAAACTTTTCATTTTTAAAATGTGTTGAATGCTAAGAATTTTACTTTAAAAAATAACTTGCACAAATTATTCCTTAATTTTCTATTGTCAAGTGGTTAAATTGGTACAAATTAGCTCCTGAGTTCTGAGAATCGTTGGTGATAACGAAGGAGTTCTGTTGCAACTGAACTGAAAATACTCCTGTAAAAATATTTATCCTTGTGACTTCAGTTCTCTTGTCTCATCTTAGACACATATCTGAAAGTTGTATAGCAAGATGATTATATTCTTGTGGGACGTTTTGTATTAATGAACCATTGATTCAGTTAAAATTGTTTAAATTGTGACCTGATAGATATCAGTGGTGTATACTACAGAGCAAATTGGTTTGCTTATGGAAGGTTTTGATACTCAAGTCTTCAGATTATTGGTGCTTGATGAGACAGGTAGATATTGTTTAAGAAAAAATAAGATTGTACAGTCCTTTTTTTTCTACTGTGATAAACATTATGCATTGCTTTTCCTGTTCCTGTTGATGGTTCAGGGAATTTTAAACCAAAGTATGTTTGTCACTTAATAAAGTTACATGTACATAACATATTGTGTATTTATTATAAAACTGTTTGAAAAGGCCTTCCCTTCCAGTTTTGTTCCAATAACTCACTGTCTGTAATGACAAAATGGGTTAGTTTTTTTCATCAGTTATATTGTTATAATTCATTTAATTCATTGGAACTTGTACCATGATTGGCATCTGTAGAGCAGTGATTCCTAACCCACCTCCACCTTCACTCCACAGGCAAGTTTTAATTGTTTTCAAATGCTACTTACTAATGTTAAGTAGCGTAGTGTAGTATAAATTAGTTAATCTTGTATCTTTGGTGCTCATATTTTGAAGAAAAAATGCTGAGTTTCACTTTTTTTTTCATTTCTTTTTAAATTTTGTCACAGCACAAAAGATTGTTCTACATACTCCTAGTGACTGAATGGTGAACCATCTGTCGACCACTTCTACTATTCTGTGGAGGAAGTGGTGTGGGAACCAGTGCTAACAAGATTGAAATGTCTGAAGTAATGTGCTTAAAGCATATAAGTGATATATGGAAAAGCAATGTTGATACTTTCTGTGCTTTGGTAATCAATGTCATCATATTACATAAACTTTAATTTGGAAAATTCTTATTTAATTTCATAATCTCCACATAATGGTCTTTTTAACGAGTTCTAAAACAATTATTGGATATGGTGGATACTTTTTCCTTAAAAGTACCAAGTTGTAGGTATATTTTTCTCAAACTGAAGCAAGTTGTAGGTTCAAAACTCACAATTTTAAACATTCAATGAAGTTTACTAACTCTTAGTTCCATTACTTCCAATGTGTTTTAATAATGTCCTTGTGTGTTTTTCTCTTTGTCCTCTTGCACTCATATGTTTTATTGTATTTAATAACAGGTTTTATCGTTTTGTATTGTTGTCTTTGTTCTGCAACTGACTTTGATGTGACCCATGCAGTGGTGTTAAGGGCAAAGGTTCCTTAAAAACACTTTAATAAATAATTTAAATTGTCAGTAAAATCACTAACTTGAGAATGAAATGCAGTGCACAATGTATTAAATATTCAGCTATTTTTATTACCTGACTGTTGCTGTCTTACTGAAATAGAATTGCAGAATAGTACTAATATAATATTGAGAAATGTTACTTTCATGATTTGATTGAAGATATGATGTTGCTCTAACATTAAAATTCTGTGGCAATTCGCCTTTACTTTAATGAAACGTATCTCTGTGGAAGCCATTCTGTAGTCCCATTCAATTTTTTGTACCTTTTAATGTTGTTTTTTTTTAACTGCTCCCAAGTTAGTTTTGGCTCTTCTTTTATGTAATTGCAGGCATGGCAGAAGATAATTGTTGTTACGCATAGTTGTTAAGTGTCCCTAACAATTTTGTTTTCCCTTTCTTTAAAGTGCAGAAGAAGTTCACCTTTAATTTACCCTCCAATTACCTTCTCATAATATTTCTTATTTTCTCTTTCTTTTCTGCATTTCTATGTTCAGTGTACGAATCATGTTCAGCGTGTATGCAAGTGTGATTCTGATTGTATGTATTTAAATTTATTAAGCTTAACCCAGCCATTGTTTTTAGATTTGCCTTCTTTTTTTAAATTTCAGACCCATGGATTCGGTCCCTAAACATGTAGTTAGGTATGTTAGAACTTTTTGTACATTGACCTTTAGATTATAAGGACCTTACTATGTAAGTTTTGAATCCAATATTTATTTTACTTCATGCATGCACATTGCAACTTCATTGAATTCTTGTATAAAAATTGCTTAGTGCTTTTATAGCCTGAGTTCTTAAAGATTTTATGATGTTTCCCTATCAATAGCTTTTAATGTATGTGAAATTGGATTCTTTAATGTGCCGTGTGAATATTGCATGTGTACAAGTATAATTGCTTGCATGAAGCATTCCTTATGTTCAGGTTTTTTATCCCTACTGCATTTGAAATGTGATAAAAAAAATTTTAGTTTTATACATTATATAATTCTGAATAAATTGACAGCAGTATTGACTCTTCAAATTAGGTAGTTCATGTATTCAGTCTTGACAATTTGGTTCTTTGATACAATTTTATTCATAATCTATATTATTAATTAAAATTAAGTGTGTGGAATTACAATTTTGCAAAGAAAATTGGTTTAATTTTTCATCCAATGTTTTTAATTACAAGTATGTTGAATTAAACATTGAATTTTGTGTGGAACCCTAAAAAATAAATGAAAACTTTAAAACTTAATAAATTTTAATATCAGTGAGCGAAGAGTGCTACAAAACATTGACAATTGGAAAGTTAACTTCTATTAAAGGTTTTATTTTGTTGTAGTTTCCAATAGGACTGAACGTTAGTCATTGATTAGTCATAATTGTTTATTTGTGGAAAGAATTCCAAGCTGCATTGTACTTCAAGTTGATAGTTGTGATTTTGTAGCGTGTGATCATTATTAACTTCACTTCTATTGATTAACCACTGCTTTAGAGTTTTAATCCATAACTTAGGGAATGTGGGCTTTTTTACTATGCATATTTGTAATTTTTATGCAAAAAATATATATTCTCCAGTTCAGTGGAATTTATGATTTAGTTTGGATGCTCATTGTTGATTTTGCTGATTTGTTACACACACATTTTTTATTTGGATTATCCTCTAGCACTAACTGAATATATTTTATATTTTACAGCAGTACTGTGAATGATGATCAGGTGAAACCTCGTTCTTTGCGATTCACATGGAGCATGAAGACTACTTCATCGCGTGATCCTAATGAAATAATGGCCGAGATCCGCAAGGTAGGAGTTGGGCAAATGGGAAGCACCTCTTGAGCGACACTTGCATTTAGTGTTCCTGAATCATTTATTGAAATAAGTTTTGATGTAAAATTTGTTTTGTGTATATGATATGCTCAGGCTCCAGGCTCTTTCAGTGTAGAACTTCAAATCATGTCCTTGAATGTAATCATTGGAAAACCGTGTTATTTTACATTGCATGTGTTTGAAAAAATTCTTAACACATATAAGATATAATTCACGATATAACTTGATTCAAATTGTTCATTTCCAGGTTCTAGATGCCAACAATTGTGACTATGAGCAGCGAGAAAGGTTCTTGCTGTTGTGTGTGCATGGAGACCCCAACACAGACTCGCTAGTTCAGTGGGAAATAGAGGTGTGTAAATTACCCCGCCTGTCCCTAAATGGAGTAAGATTTAAGCGCATATCTGGCACCTCCATTGGCTTCAAGAATATCGCCTCCAAGATAGCCAACGAGCTGAAACTGTGACTACCCGTGTTGGAGGGGGTTTGCATCGAAGAAGAGGGGAGCGGGCCCCCTCCAGCTCCACCAGCTGCAGCACCATCGCGGGGCTGACGGTGGACGCTGGGCCCCCGGCGGCCATGGAGACTTCGGCGGTGAACTCGCTCTGCGCGGGGCATTGTACTTTAAAGGGTAGTCTTCAGTGACGGGGTGCTGTATTAGCAGGGTGCTCTAAGGATGAAACTTGTGAGGTTGCTGTCTCCTTGTGACCAATGATGACCTCTTGTTTCTCCGGCCGTTATGTTTGATTTGTCAGTGGAGACGGAATTCTCCGTTAAGCAGGCTTCGGACAAGATCGTCTCCAGTGCAGCCATTCACTGTACTAGTTTGCTCGCTCACTTGACCATTGCACTTCGGTAATAAACTTCTTAAAGGAGCTGTTGCCTGGGCATGTGTTTTGGATCAGGTTTTAAATTGCCTGTGGCTGCTGGCTCCCATGGCTCCCATAGTTCCCTCTTTCTATTCTGGAATGTTGAATTGACATTGAAAAGATAAAAAGATGTGGAAATGCTGCCGAGGGCTCTGTGAGTCATTTAGTGATGTAATAGTTTTTTAATAAATGGCAAATGTGTAAAGTTGGAAGGCAATATGCCAGTGGATATTGGTTCATCTGAATTTTAGGAACAGGCTGTGATCTTTTGAAAGCAGCATTTGTGTTAGGTATTTCAATATCTGCTATTGCATAATGACTGTAAGGCATTAAAAATATTTTGCCATTCAAACCCACCCTATCCCCCTTTTCTTTCTGAAAAGGACTTGTATAAATTCCATTCTTGTATATATGATTTAAGCAGATATGCAATATAAAGAAATAGAAAATTTGCAATATACATAAGCATTATATAAATATATATAAATATATTTCAGTAGTGAGGTTCCTAAGGCAAGCATGTGATGGACTGTGCATTTCAGTGTGTTCATTAGTGCTGTTTTATTTACAGAGTACCATCCAGCAGAAAAGTGACTCTTTAAAACATGATCCAAAAAAAAATTAAAATTTTTGGTAAGCATGCTTCAGGTGCTAACCACAAAAACTGTCAATGTATATGGCAACATTTGTTAATTTTCAACTGTTATTAATTTTTTCGCTCAAGAATGTAGACATCACACTAAACACCTATGCAAAGTACATTTGACATTAACTCAGTCTATGCCACATTTTTTATCTTTTCTTGCTGTTATCTCGAAATATTGTGTATTATGTGTAGGGGTCATGCAACATCAGTGTGAACTGGTTTTGGTACTATTTAGTATCTCCTTTTGCTCAGTTTCCCCATGTATTATTTATAACTTTTTTATAGTGTGTGCGTGTGTCTCCAAATTTGGAGAAACTTTATGTGAATTGGAGCCATACCGAGTTCACAATGTGCCCTTCTCATGAAGATGTCATCATCCCAAGATCATATTTTTAAAAAGTGTGACATAGATTGAGAAATGGCTTGTAAAAAGGTGATTCCACCTAATACTTCCTCACAGGCTTAATGTTTTCAAGGAATCTGATTGTTATGTATTCTGGATACCCTGGATTATTTTCTTCTTTGAAGATAAAGTTTATACATGTTAAAAAGACCTAACTGCCAGTATTGATAAAATCAATTCTTGGTGTGTTGATAAGCAAAAATGTGTGCTTTTCAAGAAGTCTTAGGAGAATGCTTGAAGGGAGTGCAAGCTAGAGCAAGCTCTGTTGCTAGAAATGACTGCAGTGAGTTGTGGGTGGGCTCCTTAAATGTGATCCATGCCAACCACTGTCTACTCTGCCTGTCCCATCTCTGTGTGTGCTATATGTTATCAAGATGCTCACCATTGTATTGTACATAGTGAATGTAACCCATATCCACTGTTATTTAGAAACAGTGGTTATTTGTTGCTTGCTTTGTTAACTTTTCTTCCATCTTTTTTATCTTACTTGGTGAATAAATAAAGGAAAGAGTTAAATCCGTATTCTTCAGTTTTTGATGATGTAAATTGAAAATATCTGAAATGAACCAAAACAAAAAAAGAAAATTTGCACTTTTTGTGGAGGATTATTCTTCTTTCCTTTTGCAAATAATGATACAGTCTATTGAAGTTTTAAATATGCTGGTTATTTTAAACTTTCAAGAACACTTCAGAATGTTAAATTTCTTTCCTTCTTTATCCAACAATTCCATTTCATCATCCTTCCTGCCTACTTCATTGACTTTCTTTGTGTTGTGTGTTAATCTGCCTTATTCCTTCATGTATTTTCATATTCTTTTAAAATTATTTTTGCACATCATTCACATTACATTGGAAAGATAGCATTGGTGTCTCCTATATAAAGTGATATTGAAGATTGAATAAAAAGTAATTTATGTCTACTGCAATGGTACAGTGACTATTAAAAAATGCACCTTTTTGTTTTCAGTCGTGCATAGCCTACAAAGCATTTGACCATGTCTCATGGATTTTGTCTCTGTTTACAAAATTCCATATTGAGTACATGGTTCCAATTTAAAGTTGTTGAAGGGAATACTGCACTTAACTGAATCTTCAGGGAATAAAAAGTAGTCAAGAAGTATAAATTATATTTTTAGTGTTTCTACTTTTTTTTCTCTCAATTTTTGCCTATCCCTTGTAGCTTCTTTCATAATACACTCTATTAGAGCTTTTTCCTTTCATCCCTTGTGGGATCTCTCATAACTCTCCTTCAAATGCTCAAAAACATTGGTGCAGTACTTCCCAGTGATCTCAATATAATAAAATGAAGTCTACAGAATTCAATAAGACCTTTTTTAATGTGAAAATACAACTTTAAAACGACCATGAATTGTAAATGCAAATATATATGATATATTATCATTTCTAGCATTCAAGAAAGGTATTACACTTTTGTTACTCTAACTTGCACACATAATATTAGATAAGCAGATTTTTAAGTATGAATTCCTGGTGATTAGACTTTTTTTCGGTGTATATAAGTCACATTGTGCAAAGTCAGAGCAAGACTTATAACTAATGCTCTACTATTCATACATTACAGAATACAAGTCGACTCGTAAATAAATAGATAATTGTGTATTTTATATGCTATGCACTGAGTTTGCTCGGCTGCAAGGTTCATGTCCTATGTCGTGAGTGGATTTTGCAGATTGACTGCTATAAGCCACTAGCTGCGTTAGAAATATGTGACCTTGAACACAGAACCTTCCTATGCTTTGTTAGAATAGATTCCGGTGTACATGTGTGGGTGTAGGCATGAGTGTTGGAACAAAGATGAAGATTTAAGTGAATTTGATACATGAGCTAATTCATTAATTTGGAGTTGCCAATTATGCAAAATATACACTGTAATAATATTAATATAGATAAAATTAAGTATGTTGAAACATGTACAAGTGTGAAAATGCAGAATTCTCAATATGTGAATTTATAACATTTATCAATTCTAGATCTAAAATGAGTATTTGACCTGTAAAGATGTAAGAAGTGTGATTCTCGTCATGGAGTATGTGCGGTATGTCAAGGCATATATCGGTAACATGAATGCTACAAAACTTCTAAAATAAAAAGGCTTGGGATATTGAGTATTTTGGTATGTTTTATTTTTCAAGCTCATAGGGAAATTGAATCCATATATTTGTCCTTGGTAAGAAAACCTTCATAAATGACAATGAAAATAGGTTTGCTCTCCTCCACATTTAAATTTTTCAACTATTGGTCATGAAATAAGTAGCCCTACTAGAGACAATATTGCATTACGAAAAGTTTTGCATTTGAGACTATAATAATTCTTATATCCTATATATCTCTAATTCAATATTATTAATTAATCTTGAAAGTAGTAAAGCTTACAATTGACATTAAATATTTTTTTTAAATGAGTACGTATACATGTGTATTAAATTGAGTTTAAAATGGTACTACATATATTAAGGGAAATTGCATTTACTGAAAGTTTAAGTTATACGTAAGTATAACAAATTTAACATCTAAGTTGGACTTATCAGCAGGGATTTTGAGTTATTTAAACTAGTGCTCTTGCAGAAATTGAGATGGTTGAAATCATGTATTATATTTAATTATTGATATGTGATAATTAATGCAGGAGGAAAAGGTTTAAGATAAAGCAAAAATGTAGTGCAACACATCAGCAAACACAAATTTTGAAAGACCTGTGGTTTCCTTGGAAATGCTGCGGGTTTTAAGAAATATCAGTCATAAACATGGAGGGGGGGGGGGCAGTTCACAAATTCCATATAAACTCCAAAGGGCTACCCCAGATGGATTATTCTGAATACTAACAGAATGATTGTATATTCGCAAGAATTTGTCGATAGTGGAATAAATGTATAAACATACTCGTATAAAAGTTGAATAACCGTATATACATATGACCTATTAGTATTTGCAATGCGAAAAAAACGATAGAAAGAAAATTAGTCTGGTCATGTGATATCAGTAAATGTACCTATTAACTTAGAAAAAAGAATAAAAAACAATTAAATTTTATATAAATCTAAAAAGTGCAAATATTTGATTGTGAAAAATCTGCTATTCTCGTAATGCTCACACCAACTGAAATCTCATACTGCGCCACTGTTTATTGTTCGAATACTAATTGTCTTTACAGCTGGAGTGGGGTAGAGCGATGTTGCCAGGCGGCGAGCAGGTGGTCGCACCCGCATCAGATCAGGACAGCAGCGCGCAGCAGCGGCATACTGCGATTTTCGCAACTCTGCCCTTGGCAGGTATAAGCTGATTACGGTTTCATCCAATCGGGAACTTCAACGTCACTATGGTGACGTTCAAGCTCCCGATTGGATGAAAACGTCACCAGCTGGTATAAACCGGGTGGCAGAATTGCATAAATCGCTGTATGGTATATATTTCGATTTACTTAGCGCTCCGTTTTACAGATTATCATCTCTTACACTGTCATCCAATCGAGAGCGTTTACGTCACTATGGTGACGTTCAACCTCCTGATTGTATATAAGTAGTATCCTGTAGTATATAAGCAAGAAACAAATCGCAATCAGAGCACACAACAGTAGACGACAGAACTACAAACACGATGCGTAAATCAAAGAAGTAATTGCGTTCTTCGATTTTCAGTTGGTTCGCGCTATTGTTAATTTTTTTTCGTATCGGCAACTGCATTGATATCATCAGAATTTGAAGCCTCAGATTGGAAAACCAAACCCCTCTCTCCTGTCACCCGCTAGCTGTCAAGTAGACATTCAGACAAGTTGTAGGTGGCGACAAGGCTGCAAGGAAGGGGCCGCCCACCATTAAATATGGTATTCACGTGTGTGTTGCGTTACGGATCAGCAACTTTTTTAATATATTTTTGGTGTATAAATAACTTGTTTTGTATTCTCCATTTTAAATAAAATGACTTGGAAGTTCCATCATTTGGGACGCGGTAACCGAATCAGGAGCTTCAATACCAAAGATTGCAGTACCTGCATCGTATAAGCGACTCTTGATAGTTCAGTGCGCTGTTGCACTCACATGGCACCACCTACGTCACAGATAAATGAAATCTCAAAACATTAACTTTTACTGACAGGCAATGCCACGTCTTGTTCATGACTTCCGGCTACGCTGAACCCTAGCGGTTAGAAAGTAAGCAGATCGTCGCAAGGTGATTTCCAAGCGAGTTCGTTCAAGAACGATAGCCAGCCCATCGCTGGAGTCTTATTAGTTTGATGTACACTGTGACACACATTCTGTAGAGTGAAGTAAGCACATGACTTTGTGGTTAAATATTTGTGAAAATTTTGCTTCAGAGCAGGTCACATGAAGTACCACAACACGTGACGAGAAAACTGTCAAGAGTCGGTCTATCTTGCACTACCGGTTCTGCAATTCATAACGATCTACCAAGTGGATAAACGTGCCTTACACGCCTAGTGTTTTATAGGTATCAGGACCTTTCGTGTCCCCGCAGCGGACGAACCGTTTGTCAGCGCCAGGAACGTTACGCGGCGTCTAGCAAACGGTATCAGATTTCCAAGCGCGTTCGTTCAAGAACGATGGCAAAGGCCATCGCTGGTGACTTGTTAGTGTGATGTACACACTGACACTCGTTCTGTGAAGAATGTAGAAAACGCACAAACATTTCGTTGTTAAATATTATTGTGAAAATTTTGTGCGTTGTCCATAAGAGAAATTTATAATTTTTGTTTAATTATTATTTATTGTATCTGTTTATTATTTTTATTTATTTGCTGATTTGTTGTACATTTATTTATTTACGTATTTATTATTTAATAAGCTTTGTCTCATTAATTTAACTTCATTGTAAAAATCCTATCATACATGTGAAGAATAATATAGTAAGTATACATTCAATGGCTGCATTCGAATTACTGATGCATGTGTTATCGTCCTACTCGTTCTTCTGAATCTATGTAAACACCCGTTTTTGTCACCCTGCCTGCCCTCCAAGGCAACTGAGACCCTGCCGACATAGGCCGATAGTGGCGGCGCGGCGTACGATTAACGTAGAACAAGCTGCGAGCAGCGACTTCTGTTCTTTCACAGGCTGTATGGTCATGAAAGGTATCAATACTAATTGTCGCAAAAACAATACTTGCAATGCTTCATAGCAAGTAAAATTTTAATGTATGGGTTTTGAAAGGTGCTGAACAAGCTTGTACAATTTCACATCAATCCTAGTATACAGCACGGTGAGTGTTGCATGTGTGTCCCGATTAACAGAGGCAGTCATTAGGGAAAGCAACAGAATAATTCATTGCAAAACGGTCGTTGCCGTAATAATTTCAGGAATACCTGAACTTTTCCCAATACTGTAATCATTGGATCCCTTCGTCGAACACAGTATGTTTTTGACACTGTTTTAGTTACCCCTTTATGCACGCGGTAAACGTGATTATTCCACTTACATTTACACTCATTTTATGTTTATATATTTGCAATGTACATAATCCTTTACCAAATATTTATACTCAATCCCTATCAAATATACTATGGATTGTTAGTTTTCCTACCCAATGGTCTTGGATCTTCGCAAGTCCGTGTACGAAATAAGATTTGGTAAGATATAAATTCATGTTTTTGCGCAAAATATGCAAATACAAATAGTTGATAAATCTTTAACAAAAATAAAATTACTTCATTGCATAAAACAACATTTTTGTTGAGGGAATATCTAGAAAAGGGCATTGTAAATAAAAACACATTTTCGATCCTATAACTTTAAAGGGGTTAATTTTACAACAAAATCTTATAGAAACTTCGTTTTGGAAATGTTGGCTGCTTTAATTTTGTGTAGAGCATAATTTTCTGTAGAACTTATGGTTACGGTGATATATCCAAAAAAACGTCGAGAAAACACATTTGAACGGCCCGCACCTCCGGCTCACCCACCGTATTTCAGGAGTTTTATACTGCGAATAATATTTCTGCCTACTTGGCAACTCCCGATTGACAAAGGAGAGGTGGATCCATTATCCAATATGAGACTACAAATTGTGATGATGTTACTACAGAGTTTCCGACGTTTAGAAAAACGTTAAGAAAACAATTAAATCTCATAGCGCGAAGCAACAAAATTGAAGAGCGCCATTACTTTAATGGTTATGCGTCGTCTGTGTCACACACACACACACTATATATATATATATATATATATATATATATAATCTTTATGCTAATGCATTCGGTAGGACGCATCCTTAAAAAGGTACGTAAACTATAGGTAAAGTCAGTAACTTTAAAGAGTACTGCAATTGTTTGTAATTGTGAACGTTCCGTGAAAAGTATGTACTCAAACAAAGAATGTCTCAAGATTAGATACTTAACTCATAAATATTTCATAGTACTATTCATCTTACTTCTAAAAACCCGTCTCCCTGTACTTACCTTTCATCTGCTTTGTGCGTGTTATGCAAAAACTATTCGTTATCACTTGTTATTGGCGGGATTAGTGTAAGGGACTGCAATAAATTTGTAACTGTGCTTCATGAAATAAAGTAGTGGCATTATTACAATTACAATTCTACTACAAATACAATAAGTTAAACGTGTATGTCTCAACAGCTAATCGGACGCAAGAACGACCACGTGTCTCCTGCCGAGTAAGTGACAACATCGCTCTCCCCCACTCTCAGCTGTCAAGTCGACAGAAGTATGATTCACCGTATAGTATAATGTGTGGTAGGTACCAATGAACAATCATGCCGAGTTTCAAAATTCAGGGATTTTTCAGATGTTGGAGTCTGAAAGAACATCTGAATTCATGGAGATTTCAGATGTTTTTTGGTCTAAATTGTCTGGGATAATAGTGTTGTTTTTAGAGTTGCAGAAAATGTAATTTATGACAAACAAAACCTCAGTTATAACTTGTAAACCTCCAGTTCAGACGAAATGTCTATGGTGCGTATCTGCGTTTATTATTTTAGCCAGGTACCGAAATCATTTTTAACCTTTGCAAATGAAATAAACATGAATAAATTTAACTGTTACAGTAATTGCACCTTAGTATATAGAAAATAAAAGTCTGCCTTGATTACAGCGAAGTGAACTGACAGTATCTGAATACTGTAATCAGTATTTCGATCTCGTGGCGAAGTCGCTTACCTTTCACCACTGAGGGTTTTTTAAAAATTTATTCCGTCTATATCGGAACTCGTCTCCAAAAGGGGCGCACTGAAGTAATCCTCCGTCAATAAGCGCCCTCTAGAGGCCGCTGTGTAGTTAAGTCAGGGAATCGCCGACAGGAACCTCAGTAGTGAAAGGCAAGCGACATCGCCACTGAGCCACGAGCGGTTCCGTGTTCGATTCTCATTAAATCCCCATAGAGCCTCATGTGAAATTTGTTACGACAAAACGAGTTTGCGTGTTTCATAAGGGCTATCCCAACTCCTGTGAAGCGTCCTAAACCTTTCCCCTATCCCTATACCTTCCCAATTCTGGCCCTTGGGTAGATGACGCAGAGCGCGGGTGAGACGCGAGTGCGAAGACGCTACCTGTCGGCGATTCCCTGACTTGACCATGACTGACGTGACTTGACAATACAGCGACCCCTACAGGGCGCTTATTAACGGAGGATTACTCTAGTTCGCTCCTTACGGAGTTTGGAGACGCGTTGCGTCGAGGTAGCGATCAGAACTTCTGAAAATTAAAGAAACGAATTTGTTAGTTCTAAATATAATTTAAATATATTCCCTTAAATCTAAAAGAATTTTGTATCAAACGATCACGGCCGGCAATAATGAGAAGCATTCGAATATAATTTGGATCTCCCATGTTGCCATTTTTCAAACTGATAAAAGAGGGAAATTCGAATTTCACATTTCTTTAACGTTTTTTCAATTTTCGAAAATAGGACCGGTACTATTTTCTTTGTCGTTCTTTGCATACGCATATGCGAGAAAAAACACAAGAAAAAATTGGTGTCGTTTCTGAAAAAAGAAATTGTTTGAAATTTAAAAATTGCCTATGTTTGACGGAAACAAATACTCAGTTTCGAAATATTGAACGTAACCTTATTTGAAGAGCTGGTTCTGATGAACACATTGCGTTAAGTAAATATTATGTTCATAATTTTAGTTGCAGAAAGAC